ATCTCGAGAAGTTAACTAACATGCTTTTTGTGTTGGCAGAGTGACAGGCTGCAGAAGGTGCTAGAGTTTGTGAGTACTGTTCATGATCTGTGTGCAGTTCTTGGTTTGGATTTCTTGACCACTGTCAGAGAAGTTCATCCGAGTTTAGATGAAGAAACTGGTGTCCAGTCCAAGAGCATTAGTAATGAGACACTTTCGAGGTTGGCTAAAACCGTTCTGACTCTGAAAGATGATAAGAAGCAAAGACTTCAAAAGGTAAAACACTTCGATTATCTAAGCTGAAACATGTTGAAGATGCTTCATTTGTTTTCTTCCTGTTGTCAGCTTCAAGAGCTTGCTACTCAGCTGATTGATCTATGGAATCTGATGGACACTCCTGATGAGGAAAGGGATCTTTTCAATCATGTTACTTGTAACATTTCAGCTTCAGTCGATGAGGTGACTTCACCAGGTGCTCTTGCACGTGATCTGATCAAGCAGGTACTTAACACTCCTATGTTTTCTGAAGTATTAGTTACTCTTTTGCTAAAAAAACTCCCATGTAATTCTTGAAGGCTGAGGTGGAAGTGGATAGGCTTGACCAGCTGAAAGCCAGCCGAATGAAGGAAATTGCATTCAAGAAACAAACTGAGCTTGAGGAGATATACGCTCGTGCTCACGTGGAAACAAACCCTGAATCTGCTCGTGAGAGGATCATGTCACTGATTGATTCTGGAAACGTTGAGCCTACTGAGTTATTAGCAGACATGGATAGTCAGATAGCTAAGGCTAAAGAAGAAGCGTTTAGCAGAAAGGATATTTTGGACCGTGTCGAAAAATGGATGTCAGCTTGTGAGGAAGAGAGCTGGCTCGAAGACTACAACCGGGTAATGCATAACATTTTCCATAATCACACACTATGATACATACTATCATAACACATTAACTTGAGCTGCTTGTACATGGTTTTGGTTGGTGAGAACAGGATCAGAACAGGTACAGTGCAAGCAGAGGTGCACATTTGAATCTCAAGAGAGCTGAGAAAGCCAGGATTCTGGTTAGCAAGATTCCTGGTAAGTGTAGAAGACTTTAACAAGCAAGTTTCTCTTTTATATTACATATCTTATTGGATGTTTCTTGTTTGTGCAAAAGCCATGGTTGACACATTGGTCTCTAAGACCCGAGCTTGGGAAGAGGAACACAGCATGTCCTTCGCCTATGATGGCGTTCCTCTGCTAGCTATGTTAGATGAGTACGGTATGCTTAGGCAAGAACGAGAAGAGGAGAAACGGAGGCTCAGGGTAACTTCATCTTTTCTACTATAAATCCAAAATGTCATTCTTTCTTTAAACTCATCTTTGTCGTAATGAACAGGAACAGAAGAAGGTTCAAGAACAGCCACACATAGAGCAAGACACTGCTTTTAGCACCAGGCCAAGCCCTGCCAGACCGGTCAGTGCTAAGAAACCGGTGGGGGCACGAGCTAACAACGGAGGAGCCAACGGAGCACCAAACCGACGTTTATCTTTGAATGCAAGCCAGAACGGAAGCAGGTCAGTTGCTAAAGGAGGGAGAAGGGAGACTATAGACAGGCCGGCTGCTCCTACAAACTACGTTGCCATTTCGAAAGAGGAAGCTGCTTCATCTCCGGTTTCTGGTGCTGTTTCATCTTCACCATGAAGATAAGAAAGGATCTTTAGTTTTCATTCTGTATGTGAGTTGTTTTAGGGAGAGAGGGTTTGTATGGAAAACACCTGAGAGAAGACCAAGAAACAAAAAGACATTTGAGAGTAGAATGATATGTATCTGTGTGTTTTGTTGTGATAGTTGGCATGTGTGTTGTTAGTGTTGTTTCATAATATGACTCCATTCTAGCTTCCATAACGTTTGGCGTGTGCTTCGCTCCAAACTTATCACCACAATATTACTCATCTCGAGATCCTCCATCATCTTTAGCGTGAGCAGCCTCCCATGGACTCATTCTACTACCAAAAGTCACCGTTAAGAATAAGGGATTTATGTAGATGGGCCTTGCAATATAAAGCCCATAAGAACCTGAAGCATGAACTTGTCCATATGATTATTTGATTGATTTTTCAGTAATTTATAGAAAGTGTATCCGACGAACTTAACCGAAATGGTTTGACGTGGTTCTGTTCAGAAAGAAATTCCCGAAATATTTTTTTATTTCAATTTTATTATATCCCCTATATATTAAAAGAGAAGTCACTTTAATGAATTTTGCTTACGTGTCATTCATAGGTTCAATGTAAAATTAATTCTCTTAATTTGATTGGTTGTTGGCATTTAAATTTTTATTTATTTAATTAAAGTTTTTTAAAAGGAAACTAATCCTAGAATTACCTAATCTAATATATATTACCAAACAAACAATTAACCATCTCAAATACATAGGATTAATAGAATTTGTCTATAGAAACAATTAAATATCAAATATTCTATTATAAAAATTTAGAATACACATATAAATACATATTATATCATAGAAATAAGTATATAAACGATTTTAATTTTTTTCTATTAATAGTGGATAAAAAATCATACATTACAGAAAACTAATAATATTTTTATACTCACTCACTATAAATGGGACATAAATAAAAACATGAGTGAATAATAATAAAACCTTTTGTTGTATTCTTCGTTATTTTGTATTTGTACATACATAATTTTTTATTTGTATACCAAAATATTGTTCTACGTATTAATATAATTGTAAGCTAATTATTTTTAGGTGTTTATACAACATAAAGAAAAATTGAACAAATAAGATAAATATAAATGATAATTAAGTTATAAAACTGTTAATGTTGAAGATGCAAAATATAATGCAAATTAAATTTAAAATAAATTATTTTAAAATAATGATAAGTATTTTTTCCGGTGTAATAAACTTTTAAAATATATGATAACAAAGTTATAACAAAATTTATACAACTAGAAACATGTTATTTTGATCTATTAAAACTGTTGAATCTCACGTTTATATTAATCTATGTCTAAAGTAATGACATCACATCATTTAAGAATTAAGATATTTTATGTTATATAATTATTTAATCAAATTTAATTTTTTGAAATAAAGTTATTTAGATTTACTTAAAATATGTATCCCCCTATATATTAAAAGAGAAGTCACTTTATTGAATTTTGCTTACGTGTCATTCATAGGTTCAATGTAGAATTAATTCTCTTAATTTGATTGGTTGTTGGCATTTAAATTTTTATTTATTTAATTAAAGTTTTTTTAAAAGGAAACTAATCATAGAATTACCTAATCTAATATATATTTCCAAACAAACAATTAACCATCTTAAATACATAGGATTAATAGAATTTGTCTATAGAAACAATTAAATATCAAATATTCTATTATAAAAATTTAGAATACACATATAAATACATATTATATTATATAAATAAGTATATAAACGATTTTAAATTTTTTCTATTAATAGTGGATAAAAAATCATACAATACAGAAAACTAATAATATTTTTATACTCACTCACTATAAATGAGACATGAATAAAAACATGAGTGAATAATAATAAAACCTTTTGTTGTATTCTTCGTTATTTTGTATTTGCACATACATAATTTTTTATTTGTATACCAAAATATTTTTTACGTATTAAAATAATTGTAAACTAATTATTTTTAGGTGTTTATACAACATAAAGAAAAATTGAGCAAATAAGATAAATATAAATGATAATTAAGTTATAAAAATGTTAATGTTGAAGATGCAAAATATAACGCAAGTTAAATTTAAAATAAATTATTTTAAAATAATGATAAGTATTTTTTCCGGTGTAATAAACTTTTAAAATATATGATAACAAAGTTATAACAAAATTTATACCACTAGAAACATGTTATTTTGATCTATTAAAACTGTTGAATCTCACGTTTATATTAATCTATGTCTAAAGTAATGACATCACATCATTTAAGAATTAAGATATTTTATGTTATATAATTATTTAATCAAATTTAATTTTTTGAAATAAAGTTATTTAGATTTACTTAAAATATGTATGTGATGAAGTAATTAAAAAAAAATAAGTTATTTATTTTTTCAATGAAAATCTTGGTCAAAGGAATCAATGTTTGATAAAATAGTGTGAAGACTGGAGAGAATTTGATAATGAATTTATTTGGTTAGCCAATTGTAATTTTAAATTAAATTCTAAATAAAAAATATGTAAGAAAGGGAGAAAGAGAGGGAGATATGGTGATGATAATGATTAGAGAGTCGGTTATGATCATAATGAAGATGAAATTGAATATAAGTAAGAGACTGAATATAAGTGAGATAGATTCTGAAATCATTTATTAATACTATGTGAAAATGTTTGAAGATTTAACAAAATTTGGTGAAAATTTTGCAACCAAAGAGAGATAGAAAGAGTTTTAAAGTGAAATATTGAGGATCATATTAAGGACGAGGGTAAGAGAATGAATATAAGTGATTGTGAGAGAGTGAATGTAAGTTTGAGAGATTTTGAGATTATTTGATCAACTAAGAGAGAGAGAAAGAAAAAGAGCGAGAGAGGTGTACAAAGACATACAAAAATAATGCAAAGAGATACATAAGAAACAAAACGAATGTGTAAAAAAAATACAAGGAAAAATGAAATGAATAAGATAGAAAAATATAAAAGAAAAAACAGAATATCTATGTAAAAGAAAAAAATTTATAATATATTTATACATTTATATTATTTTTTATTCATATAATGTATAGATTATATTAATGTCCGCACATGCGTGCGGGCCGTCCACCTAGTTCAATCTTTAAATGTAAAAACTTTTGTTACGTTTCACTTCTGTTAATTTTTCATGACAAGTGTCCTAGCGACAAGTAAAAGATGTTATCAAATGGCAAACGGTGGCAATGTGGCGCGTGCATGTCCGCCACGGAGCATCGAAATGTTTCGGTCTCCTCTTCCCCCTAATTCTCATTTCTCTTCTCGCTGTATAGAGAGAAGAGAACAATGACGACGATGGGGATGATGGAGAGAGACGCAATGAAGACGGTGGCTCCTTGCGCTCCCGTCACTTATCACCGGCGTGTTCGCGGTGACTTGGATGACACACTTCCTAAACCTTGTACTTCTCCTTATCCATTCTCTACAATATTTAAGCACTCGCAGTTATTCATTAATTAAACGAGTTGTCTTGTACGGTACGTTTATAAATTTTGATATGAACTAGATTTGCCAAGAGCACTTCAAGCACCAGATATGGAGCACCCGCAAGGAACACCAGAGCATAGCCATAATGGCCTTAGTGTTCTTCAGCAACATGTCGCTTTCTTCGATTTGGATGATAATGGCATCATTTACCCCTCCGAAACCTTCTATGGTAAACATATTACCTCCATATATATTTTTTTACCTCCATATTTTTACATACGAGATCTTTTGACTTGTGTCCACCGGCTCAATTCAGAATAAAATATTTTTCTAGTTCTTTCTGAAATTCGTATATTTTAATAATCTAATATATTTTGACCCAAAAAAAAATCTAATCCCCTATATATTATTTGAGAATCATTTAAAAAATTGTAACCTTAAGTTTGTAAGAATTAAAAATAACATCAATCATATGTGGCATAGCTATTTGGCTTCTATTTCAAATCACAAGGATTCTAGAGCATGTGATATAATGTATAGTCTAAAAATTATATTCTCTAGCAATATAATATTTCGTAGACTATAGTTGGTCGCATATATCAAATATTTATTGTTTCGCATGCTTTCCTTAAATAAAACATACGGAATTACCTAATGTGATTAAAATATATATGACAATTAATGATTTTAAACAATAAAGATTTGATAACAACATGTATACTTTTTCTCATTTTGTTTTTTGTTTATTATTAAAATAAATTACATAATTACATTAATCATATAATAAAAATCTAGATTTTTTTGTGTATGTTGTATTTCGAATTTTTCAAAATGAGTATAAATTACTAAAATTGTTAAAAGTCTCACATAAATTTTTAGGATCAAGGTTTTAATTTGTTTTCTATATTAAAATATAATGATTATAAGACCATATGAAGAAATAATTTTAGTTTATATATATATTTCATATCATTTTAATTAAACTATAAATCGTATGAAAATATATACTTATATTTTGATTGTCTTCAACATATATTGAAAAATTAATATTTTAATTTTGAAATATGTCATTTTTAAAAAAAATGATTATAAATTATTGAAACTACTAAACATCTCACATTAAAAAAAATCGTTGGTGTAAAGTTTTGTTACACAAATATGCAAATAATCATAAAATAATATGAATAGAAACTTCATTTAATAAATATTAATATTAAAAGTGTGCCATATTACTATGTTTATATCATTTAAATTTAATTATATATCATATACAATATAGAAGATTGATTATTTTGATTTATTTACGCTAATTGCGAATAAACAAGAGTGATAGTTAAATCTATATGCATATGTCAATTTATTACATAATAGTGACTGATTTCTTAGTTATATAAAATATATATTTATTATTTTATTATTTTATGATATGTAGAAAATTATAAAATAAATTATAAATATAAAATACTTATTGTGCATAAAGTGCAGATCTTAACCTAAGTATGTATCTTTTTAATTATTTTAAATCTTAAGTATTTTCTAAATCTCAGGTCAAAACAAATAAACGAAATAAGAATAAACTTCAAAATCAATATTTATATCGAGTAATAACCAAAATATAAAAAAACACAACAAAAGAAAAATTGAAGATAAATAGGATTAACACGTGAACGTAAACTTCTCATAACCATAATTAATTTTTAAATTGTTAAATCATGATATAAAACTGAGTTAATTTTTAATTTTTTTAATTTTTTAAATCATTATAGTTATGTTAAATCATGACCATAATTAATTTTAAATTTTTTATTTGTATTTGACAAACTTAAAATATTGTTTTTAAAATTTAACTTAATTTTTTATAAAATTATTTAAAAAATAATAATTTGTAAAAAATATAGTTTTCTAATATTATTATACAAATAAGTAAATTATATTAAATTAGTTTTGAAATTTTATATATTTTAAAAGAAATTATTTTACCAACTGCTTCTTAAAAAAAACATTAGCAAATTTGTTAATACTCTACCAATCAAGCCCAATGACACTCTGTTTATTTTGTTTATTTTCCATCACTCGAACACTAAAAAGTGAAAAGATATATGAAATCGGGTCCATTAAATTCTAAGTTTTGATCTATAGTTCTAATTACAATTGTTTCTGATCCTATGTATAGATAATTATTTAAAAATTCCAAAATTCTAAAATTTCAAATACATATAAAAACAGTTATATGTAAATTTTAAATTTATCAATACTAAAATTTTATATTTTAATTACGTATATTCACCCTGCGCAAGTCTTATCCTAGTATTTTTTTTATATAATGTGAGCATTGCTTTGTGTATACATACACAATTTGCTTTCCACCAGGATTCCGGTTACTCGGTTTCAATTTACTTGCGTCGCTTATCTTCGCTGCTGGTATCCACTTGACACTTAGCTATCCTACTCTCCCAGTAAGGTCTACATATATAGGTTTAATTCAATTTAACCGTACCTCGTTTATGATGGGTACTTTTTTGTTTTTATAATAGGGGTGGTTACCGTCTCCGTTCTTCCCTATCTATATACTCAACATTCACAAGGCAAAACATGGAAGCGATTCTAAAACATATGACAATGAAGGAAGGTAAACTTTCCAACAGTTTTGGCCACTATATGTCAATTCTTGGTTAGTACCTTGTATTGTACATAATGCTATATGCCAAGCTTTTGCTTTATATATATGTGTGTGCGCTATTGTGAAAGGTATACACCAGCAAATCTTGAGTTGATGTTTAGCAAATACGCGAAAACCGTTCCAGACAAGTTGAGTCTTGGAGAACTATGGGACATGACTGAAGGAAATCGCGATGCCTTTGACTTTTTCGGCTGGTATAAAAGTATTACAGTGATCAAATGTGGTTATGAATCCTTTTCAAGTAACCAACTTTTGGTTTCTGAAGAAGTGTATCTATTGTTTTGTAGGTTAGCGAGCAAGGGGGAATGGGGAATATTGTATGTGTTAGCTAGTGACAAAGAAGGATTCTTATCAAAAGAAGCGATAAGAAGGTGTTTTGATGGGAGCTTGTTTGATTATTGCGCCAGGAATTATGCCGAGATCAGTGAGTACAAAACGTACTACTGATAATGAAGGGACAGACTGGTCGATGATGATGATCTTGGTTCTTTGTAGTCGAAGGGACACACTCATATACTTACTTGTGAACTAGTTCTTCGTAATTCAATACTCTCTCTCAAACAGAATTCATGTTTAAGAGTTTTCACTTATATTAAAAAAATTAGGTGTTTTGTCCGCACATGCGAGGTTAATTTTCTTACGAATATTTATTATTTTTTGTTTTATTAATTCTAAAATAATATTATAAGTTACTTTTAATAATTTTAAAAAACCTAAATCAAACATTAAAATATTTTTATATGAATATATATTTAGATTATGGATAATTCTTATCATTATTATTAATTTAAATCATTTATCTAATTAAATAAGTTTAATTATGTTTAAATTAATTTAAAAAGCATCAAAATAAATGATTATTTGTATCCAAAAAATTCGATCTAAAACATTAAACTTTTTACATGATAAATTTATTTACAAACTAATTTTTCATTTGAAACTTTGAAAAATTTAAAGTCTATTTCCTTTCGTCTTAATTAATAAAAAATTTGAAAAATTGAATCAATAAATTTACATTCAAAAATTGATCTTACATAAAGAATAACATTAGTTTAGATAAAATACAAAATATTTGAATTTATTTTTGTCAAACACGTATTTTCTTAAGGTTTAACTATATAAAATATAAATATAAATTTAATTTAACGTGTGAGTTCAGAGGCAAAAAATAATTTCACAGATATATATCATTATATTATATTATAATATTCTTTTAATTTGAAAATAATTACGTATTATAAATTTTCAATTATGTTTTTGAATTATATACAATTAAAAATTTTACTTTATGAATATTTATTTATGTGTTTTCAGTTTTTGAATTTTTTTAATTAAAATATATTTTTTGGGTAACAACACAATATATATATATGAATTATCTTTTTATTTTTAAATATATATTTAGATATTTATAATTCTTATCATTATTATTAATTTAAATCATTTATCTAATCAAATAAGTATTAAATTCGTTTTTATTTTTGACTGATTTATATATTTTAGTCATGAAGGGTATAAACGATATTAACCACTCTAACTTTTAACGTGAGAGCTCCATTGCGAAAAATCACTTCACAAATAATAGTATAGATATGTTAATAAATTGTTTTTTGGTGATTAATTATTTATTATAATTTTTATCCAATCAAAATTTAGTAAACATAATTAATCTCATAGAAGTGTGCAATTTCTTTTTATTATATGTACTGAAAATGTGAAATATATATCTTCTAGAAATAAATATTTTTCTAAAACATAAATTATATTGAAAAATATTAACGTTGGTATCACGCATATTATGTCTTTTTCTTTTCATTCGAAAAAAATTTCTCTTAAAATGCAGATAGATTGTAGCTAAACAAAAATATTAGAATCTAATGGTAAAATATAACTAGTAGACATATAGGAATTATAGTGAATCGGATTCTGTCCAAATTTAGTTTTTATTGTTATGATATCCGATGTAAACTAATAATGACAATGAAACGGATATCATAACAATGAAATTTAGAAAACAACGGATATCATACATAACAATGAAAAACGAAATTTAGAAACCAACGGATATCATACATAACAATGAAAAACGAAATTTAGAAACCAACGGATATTTTTTCTCTTTTTTTTTTTTCTTAAATTTCGTTTTCCATTGTTATGATATCCGTTGTTCAACAAATATTGTTCTGATATCTGTGAGGGATCACTTCCTAATTTAGGTTAGGTTTATATTGGAGAAAAGACAATCGTGGACTGAATCCAGTTAGAACTGAAAGAATGAATATGATTGTATTGATGAATAAGGGTTACAAAGATGGTTTCGATGGTTACAAAGAAATAGCTGAATGATTTGTGAGTAATAATCTATGTGAAAATTGGTTAAGCGAATTCCTTCTCTTCTTCATCTCCCCTTCCTTTATATAGCCTTAGGCCACGTTTAACTTCTCCTGATAAATCTCCGAGATTGCTTCCGTAAGTTGAGGGATTTGCAACAGCCTCCTCTTGACCAAGTCCTACGCGTCCAACCTGAGCTGCTTCTTGTTCGCTATTTGAAAAAGAGGTCCGGAGCTCCTTTCCGTGACCTGTTTTATTAACGTCTTTCCCTTAAGCAAACAGGTTCCGGCTTTTATTCGGTTCTTCCTCGAGGAATGGACTGTTAACGGGCTTGTAACGTCCCATTAACAGTTTTTATCATTCAAGCCCATTATCTTAGCTAACGGGCTACATTCAGGTCCAACAGTTGCCCCCAGCTTTCGAGATGAGGCCTCTTTTCTCGGAAGCTAAAGCTTAACCGCCTGATCTCTTATTTCTTCGTCGAGATAATGATTATTTTATATTATATCTGAAGATACGCGTGACCTTAATTCAATGGTTCAGATTTCGTTTGGTAAGATCAATGGTTGAGATTAATGCGTTTTAAACAGCTTTAATCCCGATTTTCGAGGTAAGACATAATATAAAGCTGTAGTCATTAACTGCAACTTTTCACCACCACGTCTCGATTCGGTTTCCCAGGTAATTGTTCACTTTCTTCTTAAATTTACTGCGATCTCTTTTTTTTTTCATTCTCGGCTGTATCTATTCCCGTTAAGATCTCTAGGAATCTCTAGTCCGAAAGTTTAGATTTTCAATTCGAATCTCTCTTCGTTTCCTTCCCATCTTTCCACTTCTTTCTCTGTTTATTATTATGACGAAAGCTAAAGAAGGTACCAGAGAAACTGAAATTTCTCCTTCCGGTGTACAACTTATGAAGGTCAAGCAAGAAGTCGGCGAGAAGATGAAAAAGGGTGAACAGAGTAAGAAGGCTAGGGAGTCAATAGCCCTGCGAGTCTCCAAAAGGTCAAAGAAAAACGATGGCTCGAGTGGGAGCGTCTTCTTCGGATCTCATGTGCCCTCGTCGTTAAAGAGCTAAGAAGTTGTTAATCTCATGGTTCAGGCCGTAGGTCACAAGGATTTAGCCAAAGCCTGTAAACCCGACGAGACTCCGGAGACTGCTCAGGGAGGGTGGTTATGTGTTCATGAGAAGTACATCACTAAGTGTCATCTCATATTCCCGCTTTCGGATCTCTTATTGGACCTCCTTGACCACTACCAGTTAGCCCTTTCCCAGCTCTGTCCCTCGGTGATCCGAGTGATAAATGGTTTCATTACCAGAGCTAAGGAAGAGGGGGTTGCCGTTGGTCTTCGTGACCTAATGAGTCTTTATACAATTGCTTCGAAAGATGGCAGTAGTGGTACCTATTATCTACCTTGTCGACCCAAGTTGGGTCTTTTTAAGTTCTACGTTCTACGGTAGTGACGATGACTGGAGGAAGAAGTATTTTTATGTAAAGATAGATCCTCTGACGGTTCCTGAGGGTCGTACCCTAAGGGTTACTTGGTCTGATGCTTCTGGTTAGAATCTCTAGGGATGCATTTGCATGATTTGTTCATTTTTGCGCATTTTACTGACTGTTGGTTCTTCTTTGCAGATATAAACGAACCTGAAAAGCTTACTAGTAAGCTCACCAGAGCTCTGTACCGCAAGTTGAAGCAGAGTCCTTGCACGTGGGGAGCTTTCACTACCTCACGTATAGGATCGGCTAGGTTTCCGGATCGATACGGAGCCTCATTTCTGGAACTTACTCCGGCTGCAGGTTTAGAAAGTAAGCCGGTTTTATCTCTCTTTTTGAGTGTATTAGCTATGCGTTTGGAATTGTTTAATTTTTGAATGAGTTTTTGTTGATTCAGTTTCTGAAGGTAATTCGATCGTGTCTATCTTGACGGAAGCTAGTACCTCCGAGACTGAAAGAACTCAGCAAACTAAGATGCCTCTCCAACCGTCTTACCGTTCTCGGGGTAAAGCAGCTAAAGCATCTAGTTCTTCTCGAGGTAGTGAGAAGAATCAGGGGGACTCTTTTCTTAATCAGGTGAGAGATGTTCTTGACGATGAGGTCTCTATCCTGATCAGAGATGTTGTTTCTGTCGATGTGCCAAAGGTCCAGGAGTCTGCTCCCAAATCCAATGTTCAGGCCAAGGAAGCTGACCCTCAAGTGATCAAGGAATCTTCTGAGATCGAGCCTCCGAGATTTAAGAGGTCTCGGGTCGACCAAGTGGATAGGCCGTCTAGGTCTTCCTTCTCTTCTTCCAGGGGAGGGACCGTGGGATGGAATTTCACCCATTCGAAGTCCGGTTCTGTCCTGGAAGACCCTTGGGGTTTGGCTACGTTGATCAGACATATGAAGAGGACTGGTTGCTCTCTCCCTGCGCTCAACAACATGACTAACAGGGAAGAGTACATTGAGGTTGCTCACTGCATGGGTCAGGTGAGGAACCTTAGTTAGTTTTTTTTTTGTTCCCTCTAATGAGGTCCTTGATTTACAGTTTGTTCGTTTTTTTTTTTGTAGTTGGCTGGGGCTATCAACAGAGCTCAACTGAGCTTGGAGGATACTGTCAACAATGCCCTCAGAGCCGGGGTGTTAGCTCAGGTAACAGAGATGGTGAGAGCTACCAAGGAGGAGCTCGATCAATCTCGAGCTAAAGTTGTTGAGCTCGAAGGTGTGGTGGAAAGGCTCGGCTCAAAGGCTGATCCGGGAAAATCGAGAGCCAAGTTATCGATATTCAAGTGAAGGGAAGGAGGATAGCTGAGCTAGAGGCTGCCCGGAAGGTTGCGGAGCAACAAGTCCGAGAGCTGATTGCTTCGTCGCAGGTTAGCCATAAGAACAAGGACGCTGAAGTCAGGCTAGCTATCCGTCAAGGAAAGAAAGAGGTAGCCGAAGCTTACAACAAGATCTTGGTTTCTGTTAAGGAGAAATTTTCCAAGAAAAAGGAGGAAGTTAGCCTCCATATCTATGCTCAGGAACTTCAAGCTAACACCGTCCTTCTTGAGGAAATGTTGGCCAACGAGATAAAGAGTGTTGACGAAGAGTACAAACGACTGATGTCGTTGATTCCTGAGGCTACCGCGGCGT